CCCCAAAACCCCAAAACCCCAAAACCCCACTTAATCACATATTTTGAATAAGTAATGAAATTAAGATAATTTATTTAGGTTACTGTCAATTTATCTTTGTTATTATTTAATTGCTTTTATTTAGGATTAGTATACTTTCAAATTCTGTTTTTCATTATTTTGTTATTTGGATTCTTTTCTGGTAACTTGTCTCTGGGCGATTATTTGTCTTATTTCTTTGTTTACTATTTGGAAAATTAAGATGCTGCTTGATTCTATTACAGGGGATTTTTTGGACTATGAATTTAGCTGTTCAACTCTTTTGATGCAGCTGGCATAATAGCTCCCTTTCTTTTAGCTTCATTTTCATCCATCATAAACATCTTAGCTATTATGATTCTGACTGATGTAATTTAATTGTGAAATGCAAATATTTTTGCACCAACTGAAAACATCACTTTTTTAGGAGTTTTCATTAAGAAATCTTTAGCCTAATCAGTTAGGACTGTTTTGATTCTTTCTGAGTCTGTGTAGTTGAAAAAAGATGGCAAAAGCATAATTTTATATCCTTCTGGAATAAGTTTAATCAATTCCTTTATTATTTTATCTTTAGTCTAGTTAATTTGATCTTTTGAGAGTCTCTCACATTCTTGATCTTCAATAAAATCGAGCTACATCTTAAGTACTTTGTTGATAAGCTAATTTTTCCTTATCTTTGTAGAGAGATTTTTACTCGATCTAACTTATTTTAAAGAAGTCTCAACATCTTTTAATACTAGTTTCTCAAATTTTTCAATTTAAATGTGACTATATGGCTGCTCCAGTGCTTTAGGATCATAAAATGATAGGAAAGGTTTCATATAGGCTCCTTTTATCTTATAGTCTAGGATTGTCTCAGTTTTCCCTTTTTTCTTTTTTCTATCTTTTTTCTCCTCATCTTTTTTTACTTATTCATCCTCCTACTAATTTGCTGGCTACTGTTTTTACTCCTCCTCTATTATCTTTTTCATTTCTTATTCTTCTTGAACTATCAATGGGTGAGATATACTTAAATCCGTCACTAATGGTAACCACTAACTTTCGTTATGCAAATGATAGTAGATTTAAGCTGGACCTGGATTTTACAGATTTGCCCAGACGTTTTTATGATTAAAAATCAAGTCTATTTGAGAGTAGGGAAGAAATACAAAATCAGCATTCTTGCCTGTTTTCTTATCATAGAAGCTTTCAACAGGCCAAATATGCTTATCTACTCTTTTCTTCTCTCTTTCTACCCTTTCTTTTTGCTGCTTTTCTATAAACTTGCTAATTGGTTTTTTAGTAACAATCTTGTCTTCATCATCATCTGAGAAGTAATCAAGCTGTTTCAGTTAATCTTATTTCTCTTTTGATAAAGCCTTGATTTTTCCAACTAAATTAATATCTCCTCCTTTGTATCTTTAATCTAAATCCTCAAAGTAGACAAGTTAATTATCCATAAAATCTGAATCAGATTCTTTTTCATCATCCGTTACTTCTTTACTTTCATTACTATCAACAAAATTCATTCCGTTTTCATCATCTGATAAAATTTTACTATTACCAGCCTTTTCATTATCCTAGAGAGTTTTATTTAGCTCAGTTAAATTATACTCGCTTTCTTCTCTTTACTGTTACCTTAATTTTTCTATCAGTTTCTTTTCGTTGTCATTTAAATTTGGGCTTAAATAAGCTTGAAGTTTTAATTCTTCTCCTTCTATTACTCTTCCGTGAAGTATGAACTTTTTAGATTAACTAACATCCCAGAAGGTAATTTCATCATAGGTTTTATTTAAAGTCATTACCCAGGAATGTGAACCACCTGTTTCTTTAAGCTTTCCGAGACAGACAAAAACTCTATCATTGATTCCACTTTAATCTTCCTCTTGATAATTCTGTCCTTTCTTTTTCTTTTTCTTCTTCCCATCATTCATTGCTGATTATACAGCTGCTTATTATAAGAGTTTAGAATCTATGGGAGCATCTTTATCAATTGCCTTTTGCTTAGTTGCAGAAGTTTTTTACTAATCAAGATCATCAGCTTGATCTTGCTCCTACAAGATTTCTTTCTTATTTTTTGGAGTAAAGTTATCATTCAGAATAGATTGTTTAGCTTTGATAATTGCAGTTTATTTCTTATTTTAAAATTTTTCTTCAATTTCATCGATAGTTTCATACTTTACTGCTCTAAACATACTTGCCATTAATAGCGAGTGCTCATCAATAGACCCTACTTTCATAGTTAGCAAAAAATCTGGTGATGACCATATGTTTTACACTTCATGGTTTTTGAATGGAATGCATCTTACGAAATGCGCTACTTCCCCTAATGTTCTAATCCCTCTAATTAGTTCACCTTATTCGTTGGCATTAAATTCTATGTAAGTTGAGTCTGGAGGGGTCATTTTAGAAAGAAACATTGTAACTAGATGTTTAGATTTGTACTAATCATAAAAGCTGAGATTATCAAAGCACCTATCATTTAGATAGTAATCGAATGGAAAATTCTTTTATATAATCTGCTTAAATCTCACTTAATATTTTTGCTATCTTAGACCTTGTTCTAGGTCAGGAGGAAGCTAGTCCTCATCTTTTAATCTCAATTTACTCAAGTCGACTCCTGGATAAGGTACCTCAGGTTAAAACCACATGCTTAATCCAACATTCGCATTTGCAGAATCAAAAAATGCAGATTATAGTTTGAGATTTGCTGTGTAAACTCTACATTAAAAACTAATTTTTTGTTTGGTATGCTCATCAGTAAATTACTTATCTTCAAATTTTTAAGAATGAAGTACAGAAAGACATATTTTTGTGCTTCCAAGATTTTCCAGATTTATTTTGCCTGTGTCTGCCCAAACATTAATGACAACTTCACTTTTAGTTTCAAGTTCATCGTTTAAAAAATCAGTTAGCTTTACAGGGTCATTTCTAATTGACTCTTCGATAGCGATATTGAAAAATATTATTTCATTGAGGTTCGCTCTCTTCACCATTCTAGTTTTCTTCATTGTACCTGCCCATTCTATGGTTGCAAAAACAGATGCCTCTCCTCCATCTTCAATAGCATCAAAAACATTTAGCTTATTTATGAATATAACTAGATATTGCTCTCGCTTAGCAATCATTTCCATCTCTCCATACTATTAATATTTAGGCTTTGATCCTATTCTGATTGTACCTTGAAGATTGCATGTTTAAGCTTTTTATCTGATGTTTTCTTCGGTTTTATTTTTTATCTTGTGAATAACCATTTCTGTCTTGATCAAATTTGAATCAATAAATTACTTAAGCACAATAGTCTTCAATCCTATCAATGTTTTTCCTAGTAATTAATGATTCCAGATTCGCATTGATAATTTTTACTGCCTAAGCTCATTGTAAGTACCCCTGAATTTTATCCCATCCTCAAAAGTCGCCCAATGAGGTAGCTTTTAATTCCTCATTATAGATGAAAATGTTGTTGATTAAATTGCTTTATCTGAAAGTAGCCTTAATTCAAGCTATGGATTAAGATTTAGATTTTTATCTTCCTCTTTTTCAAGATTAGTTGATTTCCAGTCTAGAAAAATCAAGTAAAAATCCCATATCTCTTCAAAGAAAATGTTGAAATTGATTGTTGCCATATTCTTATAACTTTTACCTTCTTAAACTTACTCTTTAATGGTAACTGATTACTTGAATTGTCCAGTGGCTAATTCGATAAAAGGTATCGATGTATATCCTAGAAATTTGTTAATCCATCCTGTCTCATTGTCCCAGAGTTCAATATGAAGTCTTTATTGCATAAGCTGGAAGTATGAGGCACGAAACTCAGTGTCGATCTCGACTTAGAAAAATCTAGTGTCATTTGGTTCCAAAAATTTAAGAACATCTGTTTAGTATATAATCCCATAATCTCCATGGTAATTGTTCAATATTTTGCCATTAGAGGCTTTTTTAATTTCAACCTAAATGCTAATAAGTTTATATTTTAACGTACAAAGTAATCTCCACCTATGATAAACTGTATAAATGGATCTAAAATGGTTCCTGAAATGTTTTAAATCTCAATCTGGAATATATGAACTTTCCATCTTCTAACTAATTCTTGATTTTTCTTCTCATCAGCTGAATATTTAGTGTCTGGCAAAGCGATGGGAGGATCTGAAATATAAAAAGAAAATCAAATAGTACCATAAAAAGAAATAATCTGATCCTTCTTTTTTGCTTGGCCGCCTAATTGTAAAGGTTCTGGTTCTTGCTGTTGATTGTTTTAATTCTAATCTCCTTCACCTTAAGCTTTATTAGGATCTTAATTCCCTCCAGCATCCTTATTATCTGAAAAGTAGTTTTTAAAAAACATTATGATTAATTAGAGTGAATGATCATGAATAGTTAGTGAGTAACACAATTTACTAGCTTACCTTAATCTTTCTTCTGTTGTGATTCACTCATTATTGTTTATTTATAGAAACGAACTAATTTATTCTTAATTTCCCGAATTCATTTATTATTCTGTCCTTGGGGTTTTGGGGTTTTGGGG